CACTGTCCTGTGCTGGTCACTGCCCTGTGCCGGTCACTGTCCTGTGCTGGCCACTGTCCTGTGCCGGTCACTGTCCTGTGCTGGTCACTGCCACTGTCCTGTGCCGGTCACTGTCCTGTGCTGGCCACTGTCCTGTGCTGGCCACTGTCCTGTGCCGGTCACTGTCCTGTGCTGGCCACTGTCCTGTGCTGGTCACTGTCCTGTGCCGACCACTGTCCTGTGCCGGCCACTATCCTGTGCTGGCCACTGTCCTGTGCTGGTCACTGCCACTGTCCTGTGCCGGTCACTGTCCTGTGCTGGTCACTGTCCTGTGCTGGTCACTATCCTGTGCTGGTCACTGTCCTGTGCTGGCCACTGTCCTGTGCTGGCCACTGTCCTGTGCTGGTCACTATCCTGTGCTGGTCACTGTCCTGTGCCGGTCACTGTCCTGTGCCAGCCACTGTCCTGTGCTGGCCACTGTCCTGTGCTGGCCACTGTCCTGCCCTCCGGCCGGTCACTGTCCTGTGCTGGCCACTGTCCTGCCCTCCGGCCGGTCACTGTCCTGTGCTGGCCACTGTCCTGCCCTCCGGCCGGCCACGGGCACCACCAGGGCTGCTCCTGCAGGGAATGGTTTGGAGGGGTTGGTGCAGCTCAGGAGGGCACATCTGCAGCTCCTCCAGAGGGGCTGCTCCGAGCTCTGCTCCCTCAGACAGGGATGGGACTGGGATGGGTTTTGGGAAAGGTTCTTCTGTGCCCAGACGGTGCCAGGGAATGGGCACATTCCCAAAGCTGCCAGAGCTCTGGGAGTGTTGGGACAGCGCTGACAGGGGTGCCCAGGGTGGGATTGTTTGGGGTTTGGGCAGCTCAAAGTTGTTTTTTAAAAGCCTTTAACTGCAGCCAGGGGTGAAATGCAGATCAGTGAGATTTGCTGATGCCGATTGAGAGCAGCAGCTCTTCCCAAGGCGATGGAATCACCTCATGTACAATGCCATGCTGCTTGGGTATTATTGAAAATGTTATTGCTGGAGTTAACCCTTGCAGTCACTGAGGTGATTTTGTGGATTTTGCAGGTGCCAAGGGGGAGAAGGGAGAAGCTGGGCCACCAGGGCTGCCGGGRACTCCTGCTCCTCAAGGTCCAAAAGGCTCTAAAGGAGAAAGAGGTAAAGCAGACTCATGGACAATGCTCTTATCCTCATAAAATACCCCCCAAAATACCATATTTTTCAGAGGAAAAGCAGTGTATTGGTAGGGATTAAGCCCTGGAGAGATTTAGCTGGTATTAGTGCAGGGACAGGGACGCAGGTGGTGGCAGTGCTGGAACAGCTGCTCAGAAAGTTCTCACTCCAAACTCCTCGTTCTGAATGGAAATCCTCATTCAAAACACGATTCAGGGATAGAATCAGGAAAAAACCACCATGGAAGTGAGGGACACAGTGGATGGCCCCGGTGGGGGGTGGTTTGTGCTGCACACAGCAGCAGCAGTTAATTAATTGATGAACTAATTGATGCTGGAATGTCCTAGGAGGAAAAGGGGAGCCAGGGGAGAGAGGAGCGAGCGGGAGCCCCGGTTATCCCGGCAAACCCGGGCTGCCAGGTAGGCCTGGGAACCCAGGATTGCTCTGAGCTTTCCCTCTGCTCTGGGTTTTACAGAGTGTGGAAGGACCAACCATTCTGGAGGGTCCTCCCTCTCCAGAACAATCCCATTTTATTGCTTTTCATCTTCTTTTCTCACCCTCAGGTGACACTGGAGCCAAAGGCAATAAAGGCAACTACGGCTTCCCTGGGCTGAAGGGACAAAAGGGAGCGAAAGGGGACACGTGTGACAACGGGACCAAGGGAGACAAAGGGGACAGGGGGGACCCCGGAGAGCCGGGAGCGGGGGGAGAGCAGGGGGACAAGGGGGAGAAGGGGGACACGGGGGACAAGGGGTACTGCGGGGAGCCGGGGGGGAGAGGGGCCAAGGGCGAGCGGGGGGAAGGGGGCACCAAGGGGGAAAAGGGCAGCAAGGGGGACACGGGCACCGAGGGCGCTCGGGGCACAGCGGGCAAGCAGGGTGACAAGGGCGAGCAGGGCCGCAAGGGCAGCAAGGGCGAGCCCGGCCCCACAGGCACAGCCGGCCCCAAGGGCGATCCCGGCCCCAAGGGYGGCCGAGGGGCTCCGGGCAGGAAGGGCTCCCGCGGCCCCAAAGGCTCCTCAGCGCCCGTCCCCCGAGCCCCACGCTCGGCTTTCAGCGCCGGTCTGACACGGCCCTTCCCTCCGCCACACGTGCCCATCCGCTTCGACCGCGTGTGGTTCAACGAGAGCGCCGACTACGACCCCAACACCGGCAAATTCCGCTGTGGCGTGCCCGGCGCTTATGTCTTCTCGTACCACGTCACCGTCCGCGGCCGTCCTGCCCGCCTCAGCCTGGTGGCCAGTGGCCGGAGGGTGGCCAAGGCCAGGGACACGCTCTACGGGCAGGACATCGACCAGGCCTCCTTCCTGACCATCCTGCGCCTCAGGGCGGGCGACCAGGTGTGGCTGGAGGTGGCCAAGGACTGGAACGGGCTCTACGCCGGTGCTGAGGACGACAGCGTCTTCACGGGCTTCCTGCTGTACCCCGACGGCGTCGAGGTGCTGCTGTAGGGTCTGAGGGGACGCTGAGGGATGGCCTTYCCTCCGCCTGGGAGAGGAGAAATGGGCAGAACGTTGGTTTAGGTGTCATTTTCTTGATGTTTTAATGAAAATTTGTTTGTTTGAAGGATTCACGCATCCATTTTTCATCCATTCATCCATTTTCCCGACAGCAGCAGGACCCACACGAGGAGGGGTCCCATCCCAGCTCATAATTATTCATAGCATCTTCAAACCACATAATGAGACTCCTTCCCAGCTCCTGCAATCCTTGCATGGTCCAAACTCCTTCTAGAATCAGTTTGATCACCGCTGATTGTGATCAAAGTGCCAGGGTTTGATTTGAAGGGCTCAGCCAGATGGGAACGTGAGCAGTAGATTCCTTGAAATCCCCCTGGAAAGATCTGAAGCTTTTTTCTTGTTGAATCAGTGTTATTTAGTCCTTTAGCCTTTGGTCAAGGGTTAATATAAAAATTTGTCTAAAAGAGTATTAGATCCATGTAAACAAACCTCCTAACTCTTGTTCTTAATCAAAAATAAATATGAAACTTTCAAAAGTTGTTTAAATTTTCTATTTTATCCACTCAGATCCCCAATTTCTGAACCTCTGATGCTGTGGGATCATCCCTGGGCTGCTGCGAGGAGGAGGAGGCAGCCAGGAACAGACTTTGAGACCCACTTGATGTGTTCTGATGGTCTGTGGGCACATTTAAAAAGTCTCACRGAGACCATTTGACCAGAAAACCCTTAATACAGCAGTTTCCCATCTTAAAAATGTCAAATTATAAAAAAATCCCCTCATCTGGGTCTGTTTCTCCCCATTTTTCATGCCATGGCAGAATGACCATGGATTGATTGAGGATGGGCTTTGTCTCACTATGGAGCCCTGCTAAAAAAAAGCCAAAATATTTGTTCCCTTTGGGAAAACTCTCCCCKGTTCAGGGTGCAGTGAAGCATTTTGGAAGGAAATAAACACTCAGGGTCCTTATCAGGTGAGCAGCTCTTGTCAATAATTATGAAAAATCATTCCAAGCTGACACAAGACCATAAAAACACTTTTCTTTTGTGTATTCCATACTGTTAAATCAGGTGTTCCACAGTTTAACACTCAATTTTAGAGCAGCTGGGATTTTCCTAAAGCCCCATCAGAGGTGCTGTGGGGGGAAATGCCAAGCTGAGTTTCCTACCGGGGATTTTTGTGTGGAAAAAGAGATAAAACCAGGGAAAAAATTCTCATCCATCCTGGGAGGAGTAAAATTGCCTTTTTTTCCCAGAGGAGCTGTTGGGTTTTGCTCTGCAGCAGGGCAGGAGCTGAGGATGCTGAGCAGGAGCTGTGACCCCACGAGCCCCAGGAATTTGTTCCAGGTGAAGAGAGGAGAGGATTGGATCCCAAACAGGGAAATATTCCCCATGGAGGGTTTAACAAACACTTCAGACCGTGCTTTCCCTCCACTCCTGCTCATTAATCCTGACCCAGCAGCTTTTCCTCCATCATCTCTCCCTTCTCYTGCTCGAAACACAAATTTTTGGGTAATTATTGGGTAATTTTTTGGACAAAGCTCGTTACAGGCTGAGCGAGGGAAGTGCTGTTCCAGCAATGTTCCCTCTTAGAGYTGAGTTTCTTCCAAAGAGAGGTGACACCCACGACCTGGGCAGAGCATCCAAGAGAATCAGGAACTTCTACAAGATAAAAAAAAGGATTTATTTTCCAGGTAATCATTTAAACCCCTTGGAAATAATAATTGCTGGAARATGGGCCATGTAGATTTATTTTAGGGGAAAAAATAAGGTTTACTGCTTGTTTGTTGAGTGCCAAGATCCAATTATTCAATAAAAAAAAAGAATTTTGGTGTTAGATCAGTGTTGAATTTTAGTGTTAAGTCTTTGCAGTGGTCTCTCAAATTATTCTGGTTAATCACCCGCTTCTTTTTGCTCTTAAATTACCTTGTGGTTATTAAAAAAAMMCCAAAAAACAAACATTGGTGATCTCAGCTCTTTCCTTCCAACAGGAGCATTTTGTWCTTTGATGGATTCCAAAGGAATTTCTCACCTTTTTAATGTGGASATGCTAAAATCTCTTGGGAACTTGGAGTTTTCCTTCAAGAGTTGCATCAGTGCAAAAATCTTTTCCRTTTCCATTTTAAAACCACAAATTATTTTAAATAATAATGATGAATGAGTTTATCATTTCAGAGGAACTCTAAAAATTTCTAAAAATTCTAAAAAATCCCTAAAAATTTCAGAGGAATTCAATCCCCAGACCAGCACTTTCCAGAAGGACTTTTGGCTCTGCTCTCAYGAGTAGGAATCATTTTTTTCGTGGAATTGTGGAGCTTTGGTTGCCTCGGCAACAGGGCACATTTTTAAATTTGGAAAGGGATTTGTTTTCTGTCCCTTTGCTCTCTGCTGGTGAGGAGTTGAGCATAAAACTTGAAAAGGAGGGAGATTCAACGTGGATGAAAATGTGATGGATRAAATTCCCTTGTAGAGGGAGGAGAAAGCCCTGGCACAGCCAGGAGGGAAATTTCTGCATCTCTTAGGAGTGAAGGGGAAGTTTTGGGGCAGCAGAGGGAATATTTTGTGTGTGGATGGGGATAAATCCCATGAGGCTGCTGTAAAGGCCTGAACTCCCAAATTCCTGTGTTTTAACCCCATTTCRTGTTTTATTTTCCCCTTTGGGTAATGAGAAAAGTGCACAAATTCCCTGCATTTCCCTGTCCTGATTTGCTGGGACGCTGATTTAATAATCTGGATGATGCAGGAGTGACAGAAATGAGGCCTGGGTGTAGCAGGGATGTATTTTATGGAATTGCCACTGAAATACAATTTTTTTTTTTGATAGTTCTTGGCCAGGGAATCACCCAGCATTTGTCAGCACTTTGTCAGGAGAGCTCTGAGCAGCTCCAGATGTTTTTCTGGAAGGAGTCAGCAAAAGGCACTGACAGCTTCATTGGCTGCTGACGTGAGCTTGGATCCATCCCTGGCTTTGGAAGGAGTTGGAATTGCACCAACACAGCCCTGAGGTTAAAATCAAATTCAGAGAATCTTTGCTGCACCTTGGATGAGCATTTTTTATCCAAAACCACCCAGTGTTTCTCCTGATTTGGCCACTCCAGCCATCCATTCTGCTGAAAAACGCTGCAAAATGCCAAGGCTGAATGGAAAATATTGGAAGCACGGGTAATTTATGTCTGTGCCTCACAACCTGGCAGGATTTCAGATTTAGGATTTTGTGCCCACCCGTTTTCTTATCAGCTCTGTGCCTGTGCCCATCCCATAATTCTCCCTTTCCCTGGGCCTGAGCCTGCTCAGCTCCCTTCAGCTGCAATGGCACCTTTCCTTTCCTTAGAACACAAGGAATTCCATTTTCCTGGAATATTTGGAGCAGGTGTTCAGCCTCCCTGCTCTGCTGTGCAGCAGAAGGTTCATCTATTTTTCATTACAATGGAGACAAATCCTGATGCTGGGGATGACCATCTGTCCCTGGGCCTCTTCTGCTGGGCTACAAATGAAATTTGGGTTTTGCTTTAATTAATTTTATTGTGAATGCTGGTGTTGATGAAATATCTCGCTTCCCACGTGGAATTTTATGGTTGGAACTTTTTGTGTCGGGACAATTCTGGTGGAAATCAGGTCGTGGCAGTGGGAGCCAAAATTTCCTGGGGTTTAATGTCCCTGTTTAACACTGATGGAACTCTGCTGGGATTTGGGATTGATAATTTGTTCTATATAATATTACTGATAATTTAGCCTAATCATTGATAATTTAGTCTATATAATAGTTCATAATTTCTTCTATAGGATATAAATAATTTATTCTAGATAATATGATTGAGAATTTGTTCTATGTAACATTATTGATAATTTATTCCATATAATATAATTGATAGTTTATTCTATATAATTGATAATTTATTCTATATAAAATCATTGATAATTTGTTATATACAATATCATTAATAATTTATTCTATACAATAGCATTGATAATTTATCCTGTATAATATTACTGATAACATATATAATTYATAATTTATTCTAYATGATATCAGTAATTTATATCATAWCATAGGTAATTTATTCTMTATAATATAATTTATAATCTGCTCTATATCAGCTYTGGGCTCAGGGTGGTCTCTCCCAGGTAAATCCATGTTTTTCCTTCTGCAGGAAYAGCCCAGCTCCATCACAGGCAGAGCTCCAATGATCTGGAACCTCCCCCTTTCCCCAAACCCTCATATCTCGTATTCCTTGGCATTTTCTCAACCTTCAAACAGGAATGGATTAACTTTTGAAGCAGGAATGTGCTGGCAACTCTCACAACTCGTGTTTGCCACCCAGAAAAAAAAAAAAACCCAAAAAACAAAAAACCAGCTTGTCAGGAGAATAAGCTGAGAAGAGGAAGTAACGATTCCTCGCTTAATTATACATTAAAATGGTGAATTTATTCCTGCAGGTTATTTCAAACAAACCATGYAGTCACCTTTGGGGAGGGTTTATTCTTATTCAGGCTCAGTGAGGGAGGCATCAGCCCTTCTCTGGGTGACTCTGAAAGCACCTGATCCCCTCCCCGATTATTGCTCCCATTTTTCCGGGAGTGTTTTTATCCCCTTTTATTCCATGAAATGAAAATCCACTCAGGACTGGGGCACTCTCTGTGTGGGCCATCATCAGCCACACGAGGAATTATTATTGTTATTATTATTATTATTGATGAAAAATTGCTTTACAGTCTTTGGTTGAAAACTTGGGAATTTCTTCCTACCCGTGTTTTTATTTCTCATTTCTTTTATTCTGGTTTTGTGGTCTGGTTTTTTTTTTTTTTTTTTTTTTTTTTTTTTTGCATTTGCATTTGCTGTACTTAAAATTTCTGGCAAAACTCAACATTTTCCTACATTTTTTTGCTTCCCAAGGCCATGAAGATTTCAAATACCACCAGGCTAAAGGCAGAATTATTCCACTATTGACTATTTTAGTGTCGGCATCCCAACAATTGAGCTAGCGGACTGAACCCCTGACAGCTCCTCCTCAGGAAATCTGTGAATGTCGCAGTTCGAAGTTTACCGGGGCAGATTTTCTCTTTTTGCTGATTTTAATCGATGCCTCGGGGCGTTTTGTTCTGTTAAATCCGGCAGCAGACAGAACGCAGAAGCTCCCAAGTCTGCGCACAAAGTTTCTTCATAAAATATGCATGCACAACACAGAGCTGCGAGGATAACGATCCTCTCTAGGTTATCCCATTAAAAATTCAGCATTTTAGGGTCTGCAGGCTTTGATTTTGAGGTTGGTTGATTTTTTTTTTTTTTT